CCCCAAAAAAAAAAAAAAAAAGAAAGAAAGAAATGACCCTCTAGGTTTGTCCCTTTCGGGTCAAATGCAGACCCCTCAGGAGACCTCACTCACCGAGTAGGTGACCAGACTGCTGTTGCCACGGAGACTACTAGGCGTTCCGGTTGCCCTGGTGACGGATCCTCCACTCCCGGCCAGGGCTCCAGAGGCTTCAGTCAAGCCCCTTCCTCATCGGCCCTGGATCCTCTCGTCCCTCCCCCTCCCACCCTTCTTCAGAACTGGCCAGAGCTCCTTTGCGATTTTCTGCAGGTGTCCAAGTGCCCTCCTCAAGTTGTGACTTGCAGGCAAGGCCTCTCAGCACACAGCGCCTGCAGCCAGGGCTCGTCCACAACCACAAGCGCCTTCTCTCCCTCGGGGCCAATACTTCCCTTCCCCTTCCCAGCTTAAGACAAGATCCTGACCTAAGGACTTGTAACAGCAGAGACAAAGCCCAGAGGTATGTAGTCTCTCAAAAGGCCCCTCTTCCAAATCCTCGTTCCATTCCCTCCTAATACCTTCCTGTCCCTTCCCACCTCAGTCCAACCCCCTCCCATTCTCTACTTTTCATCCTTATCCTCTCCCTCCCCCATGTTTCTCCACTCAGTTCCCTCCTCCCCTTTTCCCTTTCCTCTCCTCCCATCCTCTGGTTCTTCACCCTCAGGCCCCTTTATCCTCTTGCTGAATGTCTGGCCATCTTCCTCCCCATCATCCTACTCTCCCTCTGCTTTCTGACACAAACTTCCCCTTTAGAAAGGCCTGGATGAGTTTAAGAAATGATAGAGTATTTCTGGAGCATGGACAAAGGTAGAGACCAGGGGAAGGTAAGGCTGGAATCCTTAGGCAGTGTTGCAAATGATGACAAGCCTTGAATGTCAGGGCCAAGAAATTTGGACCTAATACTTAGGCTGAGTCACTGAGTGTTAATTTTTAAGCAAGGGAATGCCGTTGTTGGCTTTGCATTTTAGAAAAGTCTCGCCTGGGTCATTAAGGTGGACTGACCCCTTTTGGACATCCTTCCAAGATAAATTAGGCACACCCCAACCCCCACAGCATCCTGGGCTTACCCCAGCACACCACCAACTCGTTGGTATTGTCATTTTGGTTAACCTGTCTTCTTCCCAGATTCTTTCAACTGAGTCCAGTACCTGAGATTAGGCTCTTTGTAAAAGTTACCTAAATCAATGAAAGAATGGGAAAGTGGATTAATATGCTGGGGAAGGCAGCAGAGGGGCAAAGTTATTACATAATCCAGGTAGAAAATGATGAGAACTTGAACAAAATTGGAGAGAAAAGAGAAGAGAGAATGGATTTGGGAGATATTTAGAAGATAGGAAATACAGTCCTTGGTGCCCATTTTAAGATGTAGGCTGAGGGGAAAGGAGAATTCTAGGATAATTCTCAGAGTTCACTTTTGATGCCCTGTGGGACATCCATTTAGCAATGTCCAGCAGACAGTTGGGTATGACTGTGAAGTACAGGGGTTTTAAAAGGTCTGAGCTGGAAATATGGATTTAGGAGTCATCAGGTGTCATCAGCATACAGCTGGAAGTAGCTGAAGCCTTGAACATGAATGACATCACCAAGGGGTGGGGGAGGGGTCCCTAGACAAAACTAGACTGAGGTCATGGCATCCTCCTGCACTCTTGGGAGCAAACCCCCACTTTGGCTTGGTCTTCCCAGTCTCTGGAACTCCACAGCCTGACCTCCATGGTCCTAAGTTATGCCCAGAACCCTGCTCTTGGACCAGCCAAGATGCTATGTTAGGACCCCTCCTCTGCTACCATCTACTGATGGGATTCTGACTGCTTCAGCCTTTCAGTATGCGATACGGGGTCTAGGCACATGGGTGAAGCTCCTAGCACCATACCCTGGTCCAGAGCTCATCTGGCTTCCCCCTTATATCTCAGGTACACTGAAAACTTTATCCTCATTCCATAGCCCCCTGTGAATCCTGACTTGCAGACCCTCCAATCCCAACCTAATGAAACGTGTACCCTATTCTACCACTAGATGGAAGCAGACAAGGTCACAGAAGAGCCTCATACCACCACGGATGCGGAAGAGAGCCTTTCTTCAAAGGACGCCTCTGCTGAGGACTCACAGGAGCCCCCTATCCCTGAAATCCCCTTAGAGCCTGCCCTCTCTGAAACCCCTTTAGAGCCCCTTGCCTCTGAATCTCATATGGTGCCATCCATTTCCCAGATCCCTTTAGAGACCCACACCGCTGAAACCCCTTTGGAGCCTTCCATCTCTGAGATTCCTTTAGAACACTCTGCCTCTGAGGTCCCTTTGGAGACCCCTACCCCTGAGACCCAGTTGGAGACTCACATCTCCAAGGTCCCAGAGAAACACCTTACTTTTCAGACCTCATCACTAAGCTGTGTCTCTGTGTCTTCCTCTGATTATCTGAAGGAAGCCTTCTCTGAGTCTTCCTCCAGTGAGGGCTCGTGGACAAGGAGGTCTATCCAGACCTCTGAATCTGAGAGCGTTCCAAAGCACTCCCTTTCGGGCCTTCCAGCCCAGGTCCACCTGGACACATCTGCAAAAGATGGGGAAGAGGAAGAAGAGGGGGAGAAAGGGGTGGATGCCACTGACAGCACCGCTCACGCAGCTCAGCCTGAACACCAGCTGGGCAAGAAGAAGGGGAAGAAAGGAGTCAGCCGTAATTGCTCCTGCCCTTTCCCCCTTTCTCATCACTGTCTTTGACCTGCCCCAGGAGGAGGAGATTGAGTTACTCTCTAACCTGGCCCCTTCTCTTAGTTTTAGGGCCTCCTCACTTCCCCTTAATTACTCAGCCCCTTCCTCCCCAGATTACACCCTTCACCGAGTGGTCCCTGCTGAGCAGGCAGACCTGGTGGAAGTGACTAAGGCAATGCACAAAGGGAAGTTTGGTGCTCAGGTGAATTATCTTTTCCAGTGGGAGAAGGAGGCAGCCCTGAATGCCATCCAAACAGGTGAGCCCAGGCAGCCTTTCAGGGGCTGGTGACAGGCCCATGGACATCCTCCCATCCAACAGGATCTAGGAACCTGCCTGTTCAATGGATAGCCCTCGTGGAAATGGCAATGCCACCTGCCTGGAATCTGGGAGGGGAGCAGGCAGGTAGGCCAAGGTAGATGAGGGTGGCTGCAGACAAAAAGTGGGGATATTCACAAAAAACCAGGCAGGAACAGGTGGCTGAAGGAAGGCTCAGATACCCTGCAACAAACAGATCCTAAGGCAGAGATGGCCCAGGACCCTGGACAGTTTCCAGGTGACTTGTTGCTCCGATATGGCAAAAGGCCTTAGTCCCCTTGGTAGAACTCCATTAAAAGGCTGTCATGGGGAATTCCCTGGTGGTCCAGTGGTTAAGACTCCGCACTTCCACTGCAGGGGGCACGGGTTCAATCCCTGGTCAGGGAACTAAGATCCCGCATGCTGCATGGTGTGGCCAAAAGTTTAAAAAAAAAAAAAAAAAGGCTGTCATCACTGCAGCCCCTCAAGTAGTGTCTGAGGTATAATTGCCATTCCCCTGGTTCAAACTCCAGTCTTCTTCATCTGAAAGGTGGGCAATGACTCCCACATCAGTGCTTGAATTTGACTCTCCCAGGCCCTCAGGCTAGGCCTTGATCTATGGGCACTAACACTTGTTCACCTCTGCACCTCACCCGTTCCTGCACTGTACCCTGCTACTCTGAACAGAGTTCAGAATTCCTCTAGTGGAATCCTAGCCCCTGCCCACCCGCATTGTGACTCGGCCTAAAATCTGCCCTTTCAACCAAGCTTCCCTGTTGTAATAGGGCACTAATACCACAGGCTGGCAATATCAAGTCAGAAGCATCAAAGCCAAAAGGCACATCTGGACAGGCTTAAGAGCCTAGGAGACCAGGGGCAAGACAAGAAAATCTAGTTTGACAGGCACAGAATTGTGGATTGTGGTCCTGGCCAGAGTCAAAGACCAGAGGACACTAACTCTTTCTCATTCTCCTTATGGAATTTCAGGGCTTTGCCTGGAATATGGAGTCTCACTTCCCTCCTAAAGGAATTTGCTCACTCACTTATTCAGTCAAGCATCTATATTCTCTGAGCACCTATTCTGTGCCAGGTCCTGTGTTAGGACATCGATGAAAAGACTGACCCTTCCTTGGAGGAACTCACGGTCTAACGAGAACACACGTGAACAGTCCATTATAATGCATTGTACTGTGACAGGAGTAGAATGAGAGCCACAGAAGTCAAGAGGAAGGGCCCCTAGACAGACAGGGGAAGTCAGGGACAACCTTCTGGTGGAGGTGACAGTTCACTGGAAACTTTAAATGGGAATAAGAGTCGTAGAGCTAAAGGCCCCACTCCGTGGGAACTCAGGATTCTTGGCTCGAAGTTGGGGTACTCTCAGCTCTCACAGAGGATGAGAAACTCTGAGTGGGAAATGCTCTGGTTCTCCTCCCACATTTACTCAGCACCACCCTTGCCTTGTGGTGAGACTGACCGTGAAGCCAGACAGTTTCAGATCTCAAGGGTGGTGGCCTCTTGCTGGTGCCAGCTCTCAGGGATATGTCTTAGCCTCACCTTCCTTTCCATGCCTCCTTTCTCAGCCTAACAAGCTTATATTTTTGCTTTTCACCACTCATGACTTCTGGCCTCCCCCTTTCTCCTGACCCTTGGAGAGCCATAGGCAGCCCTTCTCAAGTTCACAGAGGGTATTAGTTCAGTAACACCAGGAACACAGAAGGGAAGTATGAAGGTGCCAACGTGGAGAAGTGAGAGAAGCCCTCCTCCTACCTCCTGGCACCAGGGTTGCCCAACCTCCTCCTCCTCTTCAGGTCCCTTCAATACTACGCTCCTTAGGAGCCAGTCCCCACCATCTACTCTGCACCTGGCCCATCATTTTCCCTTTCCCTCACCTTAGACACTTCAAGGAAACAGAACAAAGGTGGACTCTAATGTTGGGAGGGGAGGAGATGAGAATCCCACAGTCACAGAGAACTCAGTGAGATACATGTTCATCGTCAAACAAAAGTTCACATATAATCTTCCTGCTCTGCATTGAAGACCGTCTTCAGTTCCCTCTGACAGGCTGACACAGATGGAATGGATCCTAGGGTGGGGAGGGATCTGAAGACACTTGTGGGGCGATGAGCAAACCTTGAAGAAAAAAGTCTAAAGGGGTAGGGATGAGGACCCGTGGGTAGAGATAGATACACACGGGGGGAGAGGTGAGAACACCTTGGGGGGAGCTTAGGCTATTTTTTCTTCTTACTTTTCCTTATTACTCAATCCCTCCACACCCAGGTCTCTATATTGGCTGGCGTTGCCCCCATTATCTATGGGACTGTTTCCGGATTGGGGATGAGTCCAAGTGCTTTTGTGGACACTTGTTGAGAGAGCACCAGATCATCTCAGGTGTGGAGTGATAACTGTCCTCTGTCACGTGTTGGGATGTATGAGAGCAAGTGTGTGTGTGTGTGTGTGTGTGTGTGTGTGTATGTGTGTGTGTGTGTGTGTGTGTGTTGGTTTGGGGGAGGGGGTTTACATGGGAAAGCCAGGCCCTGTCAGGTGCTGGTCTAACCCTACCATCCATCCCCCTACTCACAGACATATCCGTGCCCTGCAATGTGGGCCGGTGCCGCTGCCTCATGTTCTGCTTTATCCCATCACGCCCAGAGGAGGTGGGTGAGTTCTGGCTCAAGAGGTGGGCCACCTTTGACCCCAGGGCGTGGAGAGCCCAATGTCGCTGCAAACACAGCCATGAAGACCACGCAGCTACCAGGTCCCATTCCTGCAGGGTCAAAGGTACCTTCCAGAGCAAGGGGAGTGCAGGGGTGGGCATGGGTCGGGATAGGTTGCAAATAGTTTGGGGATGCAGATGGGGAGCTGGGTGAAGACACTTGGGCTTGCAGTTGGTGAGGAAGAGATGAGAATGTAGTCAGCCCCTGGGGAAGCCCCAATACCCTATACTTTTCTTGGCTGCCCCCTTGCCGCAGGCTGTTGGTGCAACTGCTTTGAGTCTAAGTTCCTCTGTGTGGCCTGTGACTGGCGCTGGGAAGAACATGAGACTTTCTTTGAGACTGAGGAGACCTGGCAGCGAGGAGGGAGGCTTCACTGTGAGGGGGCAGCCTGGGGTAGGGGCCCACTCCAGGGTCTGGAATCAGAAGGCCAGGCAGGAAGGCACTCCTGCCCTCCACCATCCCATCCTGCCCACCCACCCCTCCCTCCTGCATCTCATACCTGCACTGGTTTCCACCCCCAGGACCAGATTATGTGCCTTTAGTGGAGATGCCTACCCTCCGAGAAGCCATCATCAACAACTCTGACGTCGAGGCCCTCCAGAAGAAGGGGCCCTCTGGCCGTCCCAGCTCCCACCCTAGTCTCCCTGGGCTTCCTAGCCCATGCAGTGTCCAGCCTGGCCCCATATCTGACCCCTGTACCTGACCCTTTCACCTCTGCTTCCCTCCTCCAGGGACAGACACTGTCAACACCTGGTGCAGGCCTCTGTGAGCCTGGCCCAGATCAGCAATAAAGGGAAAGCCACTGGAATCTGGCTGGCTCTGTATGAGGCAGATAGAGCCCGGCCCGGGGTAGACACCCTAGGACCTTGGAGTTGGCACCTACAGGGGGTGAGAGAGAGCACCAGGCAGGAGAGAGGCTGGATCCAGCCATCTGCCTCCACTGCACCCACGTTCAAACTGCTAGCTCTGGCATCAGGAGGAGAGAGTGGCTTCAAGGAAGCCAAGGAGGGAGGGGATTTCAAGAAGCAGCAGTGATATTAGACACAGGTAGGGGCTCCAGTAAGACAAAGACTGAAGAGTGTCCATCGGATTTTGCGATCAGAAGGTCTTTGGTGACTTCAGAGGGTGCAGCTTCAGTGGTGCAGTGGACCAAACAGCAGTGAGTGTGAAGGAATTTCTTTAAGAAACTTAGACGAAAAGAGCAGGGAAGAAGTCAGACGATATCTACAGGGGGATGTGGGGTCAAGGAAGCATTTTGTATTTAGGAAAAAGGGAGGGGCCAGTAGAGAAAAAGACCTTGAAGGGTACAGAAGAGAAAGAGAGATGCCTGGTGAAGCCACATCCCAAAGATGGAAGGAGAGGATGGGGTCAAGGCGGAAGTGAAGGGATTCACTCTGGACAGGAGAAACACCACTTCTTGACACCAGGAGGAGGAGGGAGGAGGACGGAAGAAAGGATGGAAGGAAGGATGGGGCCTTCACTGAGCTGCAGGGAGTAGGATCTGGTGGAAGTTCCCCAGACAAGTAGGAGACAAGGTCAGTTGCTGGTGGGGGAGGAGAGGGATAAGAGTGGGGGGTAGGAGACAGGAAGAGAGGTGAAGGTTTGGGAAGGCTAATGAGGGAAACTGGAGGAAAACCTGATCGGTGGGCAATTAGGGATTCAGGTATAGTTGGAAGCAGGAACCTAGTTAGAGAAGCAGAGAAGCAAAATATTTAGATTAATCGGTGGTGACGGGAAGGGTATCAGGGAGGATGATCAGGAAAATAATGCAAAAGAAGGCTTGAGGATGTGGAGGGAGCTGACCATACAAATAGGAAAGTGAAGCCAGGAAGCAACTGACAGATTAAAAAAGGGAACAAAGGAACAGAAGTCTCATGAGGTCCAGTAGAAGATGTAGTGGTAGGGATCAAAGTACAGAAGACAGTGGCCAGAACACGCAGAGCGCTGCAGCTTTCAGATGACAGCAGCTGCAAGTGATCACAAGAGCCTGGAGTGGAGAAGACTGTGGGCTAGGGGCCAGAGTCAGTGAGTGTTGGGGAGTGACTAGGAAGCCCACTGGTGATTCTTATGGGGAATAGGAGTTTCTGACACTAATGAGCTCTGTGATCTTAGACAAGTCACTTTCCCTCTTGGGGCCTCTGTTTCTGGATCTATAAAATAAGATAACCTCTGTGCTACCTGCCTCTATGAGAATCTGAAGAAATAACCAGTTTCAAAGTGTTCTGTACTCACCTACCGCTCCTGGCTGGTTTCCTCTTCCCAGCACCTTTTATCTCTTGCCCTTCTCCAGAGCAGCTCTAGGGGCTGCTGCTGTCCCAGAGGCACACGGACAACGGCAGCCTCCAGGGCACTGAAAAGGCCAGTGTACATCTCCTCACGTTTAGGGAGGCCCTCTATTATTCCAAGGAAAGGTATGCAACTTTGGCTGCTAGAACTCCTGGGGGAAATAACAAGGTCAAATGCCTGTCCTTTGGAGGAGAAAGGACTCTCTAACAATAATATGGCTATTCAAAAGAAATCATTACTATCTCCAGAAGTAGAATTCCCCATTACTGGTTATTAGGCAATTAGCACCATGATGACCACTCACTAAAACCAACTCAGCTAATAGTCAACAATAAAGGACTGGTTACTGTGATAAACTCATTCAAGAAAGTATTATGCAGCCATTACAAAGTATATTTACATAGACTATGTAATAATATGGGAAACTGTAAATGGAAGAATAAGAATATAATATGTAATACATATGTATTATATATTATGGAAAAGGAAGTGAAAGAAAACACCAAATGTTATTCATTCCACAAATAATTACTGGGCACCTATACATGTTAGGCCATGTGCTAAAAACAAACAAACAAAAAAAAACCGATACGGTGGTGACTTTTCTCCTGTGTTAAACCTCAGACTAAAACTTTCCTGGTGTGAGTACATTAGCATTTTGTGACCCCATATTTCTGATGTCAAAAAATATATATTCCAGCAGAACGAAATATACTTCTAACCTAGCCGTAACACATTTCCCTTGTCTTTCAAACTCGCTCGGCTCACTGAAAATGCCAGGCACGGAGCTAACCGTATCCCATACTTTTTCTGATTAGGAAATAACATTGGATACGTATTCCTTTGCTTATTAGTCGTGCAGCAAAGACAGGACACTCCTGTCCCCGCCCGTTAAAAAAAAAAAAAAAAAGGAAAAGAAAAATGCAAAAACCGCCCCGAAAACAAACTGCAGAATCTTTAGTCTTGGAATATTTTAACAAGCACATAAACTAAGGAGGAACTGCCCTCAGATGAGTAAGTTAACATCTTTGAAATGGTCAAGGGGCTGAAACTGTCCTTGTGGGGAAAATGCTGGGTATCTATCCCACCAGTTAAAAAAACAAACAAAACCCGTGCCCGTTCACCTTCAGACCAACCGCCCGGCGACCTCCACCCGCCTCTTTCTTCCGGGACTCCTATCTGCCTGGAATTCCAGGGGTAGTGGTGGTTCCTGGGGCCAATAAGCGCGGAGCGGCCTCTCCCCGAACCCCGCCTTCCTCCTGGCCAAGGCAAGGAAAGGGTCCACAGCCTCTGAGCCTCTGCGCGGCAGGTGACGGAGCACCGCCCCCTTCTTCCCAGCCCACCAGTAGGGGCCCGACCCGAATAGAAGGAGCTAGTACGATAAAAGCCCCACTACCCCCTGCCCCGCGAGCCGCAACCTAAGCTGGGCCGGCCTTGTCTTGTGAGCCAATTGGAGGAAAATCCCACCTCCAGGTCTCTCAATCCTTCCAATGGAGTGAGAAACTATCTCAGCGCAACTAGAGAGGGGATCCAATCGTAAAGGAACTTTCACTCTGACTAGAGGACGAAGCCAAAGGAGTAGAAAATTCGCCCTCGAGTTGGCACAAGAAGCCAATGGGATGAAAAGACCCCGCCTCTACCGTGGCGGCGGAGCCAGTGGCGTGCCGGGCCCAGGAGCGTGACCCAATGGGATGATGGGGTCCCGGCCGCGGGCGGAGCCAATGGCCACCGCTCGCCGGCTCCCCGCCTCCCCACCTGGGCTGGCCACAGAGCCCGAGCGCTGGCCGGGGTGGGAGGTTCCCGCAGCGGAGGGGAAGATGGCGGCAGCCACGGTGTTGGCCGCCAGGCTCTGCGTTGCGCGCCGGGCGGTGGCGGTAGCGGTAGCGGGGCCGCGGGGGGCGCAGGTGAGAGGTGACCGTGGGGCGAGGAAGGGGTCCCGCGGGCTCTGACGCCCTCCAGGGCCGAGGGGCGCGTTCCTCCCCGGCTACCCTGGCCTGCGCAGCCCTGCGGCCTCGCGGGGCCGGAGCCCGAGCGCCCAGCCGGGAACCTTGCCCCTCCCGAAGTGCAGGCTCCAGGGCTGTGCGGTGAGGTCGGATTGGTGGTCACGGCAGCATCTCTTAAAGCCTCGCCGCGAGAGAAACGAATCGGCGATGAACGACGCCCTGCACAGGCCCGGGCACCGAGGTCGACACAGGGTCAGTGCAGCGTCTGCTGCCGTCTCCCAGCCGACCGAACGCCTACTCTGGGCAGCTCCTCAGTGCCCCCTGCGGGACGTGAGCTTTTTCTCCTGGGAGCCAGTCTTCTGCCCCGTCAGACTCGTGGCTTTCTACTGAGCACTAATGCTAACTCCCCTTCTTCTTCCTGTTTGCCAGAGCGACTCAAGGGGTCAGATTCATTCCGTCCGTTTTCCCCACAATGTGACATCTCTGACTTCAGCCTTCTCTCAGTCCCTGGGAAACTGGGCCTTCCCTACCCTCAATCCCCAGGGGCTGGGGTTGTGTTCACTCAACTGAACTCCTCCCTCCACCGATTCAGGGGACTGGAGTGAAAATTCACAGTAAGAGGTCAGATGTGACACCCAGACACCTTTGTGTCAAACAGGGCAATTGTATTAAAACCTGGATAAGATAGTTAACACGGCTTAAAGATCAGAAAACAAGTAATGGAAGTAAATGGAAACATTAACAAGGTGAGAGTAAATGGAAAGAGCTCCAAGTAGTCTTAAGAGATGATGCAAACCACCCCTTTTATATTTGAAGCCGAGAGAGGGGATTTATCTAAGGTAATTCAATAGTAAAATAGGAACTTGGACCTAAGCCTCCAGGTTCTCATTCTGGATCCTTTCCCCTGAACAGTGCTAGCTTTCCTCAACCCTTTAGGAGCAGGAATCAATTGCACTGCTGAATCCTGCAGTGAAATCTGCCTGTTATCTAACCAGGCCCAGCACTATCTGGCCCTGCTCTCTGCTGCTGATGCTCTGAAAGTGAGGAACTTTCCCTTTGAGTAGGAACCACTAATAGGTTCTTAGAAGGGTGAAGTTAATGGCCAGTCTCTGCCAGCCCCAACTAAGTACATGAGACACGTATTGTCAGCTTCCTCCCTTGGGTGTGTCTGACCCACCTTCAGGTCCGAGGAGCTGCAGCTGTGACTGATGGGAATGAAGTGGCCAAGGCCCAGCAGGCAGCTCCTGGGGGGGCAGCCCCAACCATCTTCTCCCGGATCCTGGATCGAAGCCTCCCAGCTGACATTCTGTATGAGGACCAGCAGGTGGGGCGCCCTTAGGACTCATCCCCTTAGGAATTTCATAAATATCATCCAGCCTGTTGAAATAACATGGTGGCCTCTGGCCTGTCATTGCTCCCAGTGTCTTGTGTTCCGTGATGTGGCCCCTCAGGCTCCTGTGCACTTTCTGGTCATTCCTAAGAAGCCCATTCCTCGCATTAGCCAGGCTGAAGAAGAAGACCAGCAGGTGGGAAGAAAAGGGCCAGGGTTTGGCTGGGGGAGCCCTGTACTCAGAAATTTTGCTCCCTGTAAATGAAGCCACATGTCTCCTTCCCCTTTCCCTGTAGCTTCTAGGACACCTTCTCCTTGTGGCCAAGAAGACAGCAAAGGCTGAGGGGCTGGGAGATGGATACCGACTTGGTGAGTGACGTTTGGCCCTTGAGCCCCTCACCTATGAATTCTCATACCTACCCCTCGGTATGATCTTCATTCTTTGACCCAAGCTCCATTTCAGTGATCAACGATGGGAAGCTGGGTGCACAATCTGTGTATCACCTGCACATTCACGTACTTGGGGGCCGACAGCTCCAGTGGCCTCCAGGTTGAACCTACCAAGTGACCAAGGACCTCAGACTTGGATGCTTGGATGGGGGTGGGGAAAAACGGCACCCTGTAATGCTAATAAACTTGCTCTCCCTCAATTCTGGATCCCTGTCTTAAATATGTAAAGATTTATACCACAAATAGGAAAGAAAACTGATTCAAGACTATGATCCCCCTTGACTATGGTCTGAGACACTAAGGAGGCCCATCCTGTAGCTAAAGGAGCATTTGCCTATATATCTGTGAGCTCAGGACTCATGGTCCACCTGGGTCAGGCCTCTAGAAAAGTAGCAGTAGGAATAAGCCTGAATGAGTAGGAAGAGACTGAATCCCAAGACTTGCTCAATTCCGATGCCAAGCCATGTTCTAAGGGGGGCTGGAAGGAGGATTGTCAATGTGAAGGCCTTTTATTGAAAGAGAATCACACCAAAAAAGTCACTACCCTTTGACTAATTCCCATGTCTCACCATTTTGCTTTTAAGCTGCTGTCTGATGTCTTTTCATCCTTAAAATTTTTAAAAAGATGCCCCTACTTTTGAGAATGAACTACTGTTGCCCCTACATAAACATACCAAGTAGGCTTTCATCTGATATAACAGCTCTGTGCCTGTTCAACGCAAAGAACCACCTTAGAAAGCCTCAGTAAGTCCTGCTTAGGTATGGGGGGCGAGGCCTTAGGCCAGCGGAACCGTAAAAGCCGGGCTGAGGCGGAAGGGAGGGGCTGAGGCGGAAGGGAGGCCGAAGGGAGGCCGGACGGAAGGCAGACTTCCCAAACTACGCCAGGTGTAAGACTTCCGCCCCGCAAAGACCTTGCCTCCACCCCCACCCTCCCCGTCAGCCCAGCTCTGGTTCTGCGCAGTCTCCTGGAATGATTTGCCGTCTCTATGGCAACCCAGTAGCTGGCGTCTGCAGATGGAGACCACTGAGTCTTCCGAGGGATCACAGTCACGGTGAGAGGCACAGCTCTGGCTGCAGGCTTAAGGGGACAAGGAAGGTTAATAGACTCGCTTTGCTGCGCTTCTGACAACTTTGCCACTTTCACTTTTTTTCAGATCTTTAGATGTACAGCCCAGCTCCGAAGGACTAGGGTCTATTTCGGATCCCTTTCCTTCTTGGGATGGCTGTCATAGGTCAGCCCTGGAAGCTGCAACCGCAGAAGCTTCAGCAGCTGCTGCAGCCACTGCAGCCGCCTCCACTACCAAAGCAGCTGCATTACCTACAAAGACCCCAGTGCCCTGTTCTGAACGGAGCCTTCTCATGGAGCCCTCCTCTGAACGTCTTCTTGGGGAGCGCTACGCTGGACCCAGATTTACCCACAAGATAGGCCACGGGAGACTTGGCTTTGAGCCTGTCTCTGTTTCCCATATTGCTTGGAATCCCTATACTGCAAATGACCTTAGCTCTAGCCGTGGCCCTGTTCCTGGCTCCAGCTCTAGCCCTGGTCTTGGCTTCAGCTCTGACCCTGGTCCTGGCTCCAGTTCTGGTCCTGGCAGTGGCTCTGGTCAAGGTCCTGGCGACGGCTCTGGTCGAGGCACTGGTCCTGGTCCTGCCGCTGATTCTAGGCATAGGCCAGGCTCTGGCCAGGGCCCTGGTTTCAGCTCCTCTGCTCCTTCAGGCTTCAAAAAACCCAGGGCAGATCTGCTCCCTAATTATGCCTCCTGGAGTCACCACAGCCACTGGGAGCCTCAGAAACAACCCTGGAAATGTTTGAAAGTCTCAGAATCTGGTGCCCGAGGGCTGTGGAAGCCCCCTGAGGTTGAAGGGACAAGTAAGGTTCTCAATGAAACACTGCCACGGGGCCAGTGCCTTCTCTACAACTGGGAGGAGGAGGTATTAAGGTTTTAACCTGCTCCCTTTTCTTGAAGGCTGCCCCCAGTTGATGAGGGTGGGTACCACAAAGGATATCATGGTCACTCAACTTGGGGCCCACAGAGAGCCACCAACCACCTGGATCAAGTCCCAAGCATGCAGGATGGCTCTGAGAGTTTCTTTTTCCGACACGGACACCGGGGACTGATGACCCTGGAGCCACAGTCACCCATGTGCTCCAGCACCACCCAGAAAGACTCATACCAGCCCCCAGGAAACCACTCTCAGCCAATTCGAGGTATGAAACATGAGAGAATGAGCCAGAGTGAGTCTAGCAGAGAAAAAAAAAAGGAATGTCTGATGAGTGTAAGGGCAAAGCTCAGTTTTTCTTCCTTTTCCCCAATTTTTTTTCTTCTGGGCCTGTTTCTTAACCAGACTCCCTCACTCTGTCCATTCCCTGGCCTCCCACAGGGAAGCGTGAAGCCATGCTGGAGATGTTCTTGCACCACCAGATCTGGTGAGAGGCTGGGTGAAGGGGAAAGGGGAGGGGGAGGACAAAAATCAGGGGAGAATGGCCTTGATGCCCCCCAGGTCAATGTAGTAAAGAGGTGCAGGCAGAGCAGGAACCCACAAGGAAGGACTCTGAGGTCGAGTCTGTGACATACCACGACTATGGAAAGGAGCTGGTGCAGTCAGGGCCTCCTGCCCCAACAAAGGTAAGAACCCATCCCACCCCACTTGTACAGCTGGGCCCTGACAGGCTGTGGGAAAGCAGCAGGCCCAGAGGTTGAGAGAGGGAGCTTCAGGCCAAGAGTTATTCAGTATCTCTCCCTCACAGCCTCACGACTACCCTAAGGAACAGCCTGAAACCTTCTGGCTACAGAGGGCACCACAGCTACAGGTGTGTGAGGGTGACCAGGTGTTGGGAGTTGGGGAGAAGGGAAGAGGCTGTTCTGTCCCGGCTTGGAGGAGACAGGGCTCTGCCCTCATTCTGGCACTCCTCCAGGGTGTCAGTAACATCAGGACTCTGGACACGCCATTCCGGAAGAACTGCAGCTTCTCAACACCAGTGCCTTTGTCTCTAGGGCAGCCCTTGCCCTATGAACCCGAGAATTATTCCCACCAATTGGGGAAAATATCTCCCCTTGGCTGTCAGGGAGGAGGGCAGGTGGTGGAGGGAGGGGTAGAACTACTCCTGTCTAAGGGTGGAGGAGGGAAGTAGATGTGGAATATGGAATCTCCTTCTGTCTGTACTGAAGAGATGCGGAGGAAGTGAATTCGGTCTGTACTTGGTGAAGGGGCTCTTTACATAAAAAGTGTTCTCTCTCATCCTGAGACTGCTCATTCAGTGATTCTGTGAGTTACCGTGTCCATACCCCATAACCTTTCCTTGGAGTTGCCCTAACACAGACTATGTCACCGTGACTGTTTTTGTTTGTTTTATATTTGGCCAAAATATTCTGGTTTAGATACAGATATTTACAGAAGGTAGGGAGGAAGGGAACCAGGCCAGAGAGGAACAGGTATATGTACAAGGCTGGGCTGCAAAGGGCAGCAACTTCCATATAAGTTGGGGGTTTTGTGCATGTTGGTTTCCATCTCATGTGACAATGTCCACTTCTGCTATGTGGAGAGATGTTGGCCACTGCCCACCCGGGTACCAGCAGCAGGGGATTGTATGACTTGGGGAGAAGTGGGGTTTACAGGAGACCAGCAGGTCCTTTCTGCTCTCCTAGGAGCCAGTAAGTTCGCATCTTTCCTTTTCCCTGGAAGCGGAGAAGTAGAGATAATTCAGATTCTTCTATGTTATTCCTCATATCTCCCTCCCTTCCCCCCACAAACCCCGTGATTGTGTTCATCTTCCCATTCCATGACTCCCTCCCCATGGCCTGCCATCACCTTCATCTCCACATCCCCTCGAAGCTCTAGCTGGAAGCATCCTAGCTCATCCAGGGCATCCTTGGTGGTAGAGGAGACATGAATCTTAAGGGCTGGGGTGGGATAGGGGAAATGATGGAAAGAAGAATCAAAGAAAAGGCAACCGAAGAACTGGCAGGATCGGAGAGAGCTTTACCCAACCACCATCCCTCAGGAGGGTCTCAGTCTTCCCAGGGCACATGCACTAGAACCAAAATATGTCCAAGAATGGGGCAATCAGGAACTGCGGTCTCTCAGAATGAGATTTGGAGGAACTGTGAAAAGAAGAAAAGGCCAACACAGGTTGAGGCTGATGCTGGGGTTGAGGGCTAATGTCTCACCTTGACCATTAGACTCCATTCGGGAAGCAGTGTTCACTGTGTCTCCAAAAAGACAGTAGCGGGGCATCTTCAGGCCAACGACCCCAGCACAGACGGGCCCTGTGAGAAGAAATAGGTTGGGAGAGCCTGGGAAAAGTCAATATGAGGACAGGAGTGAGAGTCAGCCTTACCCGTGTGGACCCCTATGCGTAGCCTCAGCTGGTCATGGGGTCGGTGGCGGATGCGGAAGGAAGAAACCGCATCCAGTAATGCCAGGGCCATACGAGCAATTTCCGGGGCATGGCGCTGACCATTTCTGCCTGGGAGACCAGATACCACCATGTAGGCATCTCCAATCGTCTCTACCTGATTGAGAGGGGGATGAAAAGGTCACCTCTATCTGTATCAGTGGGGATGGGGAAGGGCAGAAGGAGACAAGCTGGGTACCACTATGAGTCATCCTGACAGCCTGGGGGCCAGAACATTGACTAGAAAGTAAGTGCCATGGTCCTGAGAATCTGGGAGAAGGGGAAGTCAAGGGAATCTGTAAATCCTCCTGCCCACCCCAGCACCTGGCGAATACTCTACAAATGTCTGCTGAATGGACACCCTGTCTGCAACAGGACATGGTCAAATAGGCTCTGCTGTCAGGAAATGGGAAGCAAGACAACAGGGCTGCCCTGAAGAGCACAGAAGCTGGTGGGGAGGTCAACGAGGCCCAGTGAAATGAGCCTCAGACAGCCTAAAGTGTCAAAGGTAAGAAAGCAGGCACTTGGCTTCGTTAATTGTACTGAAGCTGTGTAAGAGAAGGTCCTTGTTTTTAGGAACTACACCCTGACCTGTTTAGGGATAAAGGGGCACTGTGGGGCTTCTCTGGTGGCCTAGTGGTTAAGAATCTGCCTGCCAATGCAGGGGACATGGGTTCAAGCCCTGGTGCGGGAAGATCCCACATGCCGGGAAGCGACTAAACCCGTGCGCCGCAACTACTGAGCCTGTGCTCTAGAGCTCGTGAGCCACAACTACTGAAGCCCGCGCGCCTAGAGCCCGTGCTCCGCAACAAGAGAAGCCACTGCAACGTGTACCACAACAAAGAGCAGCCCCCGCTCATCACAACTAGAGAAAGCCCGCGTGCAACAAAGACCCAATGCAGCTAAAAATAAAATAAATAGATTTATTTTTTTTAAAAAGGGGGCACTGTGTCTGAAACTTACTTGCAAAAGGTTCAGAAAATAATATATGGATACATAGATTTTTTTTAAATAAAGCAAATGGAAAATATAAACAATTGGTGAATGCAAGTAAAGGGTTTATGGGAGTTCTTTGTTACAGTAATAACAGAGATGGCAGAGTAAGTCCAAAGGGAAGGGACAGGAGTGGGTAATAAATATTATCTGCACAATATTAGGCATTTTCCACAATAAATTTATTATTACCATCATACAGATAAAACATCTGAGGCTCAGGGAGCTTCTGTTACTTGCCTAAGGCCACACGGTTGGTCACAAAGCCCTATCATTTTTACTCCCAAGCACAATAAAGCCTACCCTGTGCCAACTCAATGACGTCAACAAAAAGCTTTCACTACATAGCTTGTCCCTCACCCCAATAAATCATTCTATACCCACATCCTGTATGATTCCTCCATGTCTGGAGTGGATGAAGAGAAGAGAAAAGATGACTAGGCTATGCCTATACCCCTAGGCAAAAAGTGGCAGACAGGGGCTAGATCTTGTGATGGTTCCGATTAGGGAAGCCTTAAGGATTCACAAGAGATTAGACGGGAATGTACAATTACAGTGCCAGAGCCTCATTTGTCTACAAAGGGTACTCTAGCACTAGGATGCTGGAGACCCAGGCAGGAAAACTGACCCTGGAGCAGGTAAGGCATGTGGGATTCGGGGAGACTGGGTTTTAAAAGAGTGTCAGTGTAAGGGCAGCCCCAGCTCTCACCTTGTAGACGTCAAAGTTGTCAATTATGGCATCAAAGCAGGTATACAGATCATTAAGAAGTGTCACCACCTAACAGGGATGGGAAAGTAGAGGCCTTAAGACTTTCCAACTTTCTAAGACTGTCCAGCTAAGACTGTCCAACTTTCTAAGAATTCTTAACACACAAGCCATAACAGGATATGGAAACTACAGACCAAGCTAATCTTCCCTATTATCAAGGATCTCTATGCCCCAGTGAAGCTCCCGCAGGTCTCTACCCCACCCTCTGCCCCTCACCTGGCTCTCACCTGCATGGGGGTGCTCTCTGCTGACAAAGCTGTGAAGCCAACGATGTCACTGAAGTAGATGGTGACGCTGTCAAAGGCCTCGGCCTGTACAGTCTCTCCCCGTTTTAACTGCTCTGCCACTGAACTAGGAAGCAAAGGTACAGTTTGAGCCAAGCTCAGAGAAAGAGGGTGGGAGGGCCAGAGAGAGGAAAAGAGTGTATGGCTGGAGCGGAGATGAGTTCTAACATGAAAGCTGAGCCTGGTAGAGGAGAAGGAAGGTGGCTGGGAAGACATTACAGTCCAGGGCGAGGTAAGGTGTACAAGTGGTGTGGGGTTGGAAGGGGATCCCTGGGGATGCGGGCTAAACATCTCACGTTGGGATTGTTCTACATACACTTGCTGGAGCAAAGGTCTGGTAGAGCAGTGTCCTAAGAAGAAGGGGTGGGAAGCCAGGAAGAAGGCAGCACAACTCATTTGGAGACAGAATGAAAACACACCGTCTAGAGCCAGAATGGGCTCATGGTAGCAAGATGTAACAAAGCAGCATTCTAAGGGCTGGGAAGTGAGTTCTCAGGAGCTTGATTAGGCAGAAACCAACAGAAGAATACCACAGGAAAATTCAGGAAGGGGGACAGAAGTCTCACTGGGGTAGAATTTGGTAGAGCAGAGCCTCAGCCTTGCGTTTCTCCTCCAGGTAGGCCTGTGTGCGTTCCTCCACCAGCTTCTCCAGGTTGTTGGCATACTGCTCCATGCGCAATAGGAGGTTGTCCAGTATGCTGGTGCCACCCTCCCTGGAAGGAGGCCAGGATAGGGTACCTGCTCCAAGATGCTCAAGACCCCCAGGGCTTTCTACCCAACCCACCCTCTCGGCCCCACCAACCCCACCTCACCCACTAAGACTGATGAGGCTTCTAGCCCCGGGGAGCTCCTGCACCATAGTGCCCTCTCACTTGTTAAAGCGGCGAATGAAGCCCTTAATCTGTCCAAAGTCTGGTCGCTCAGCTGCGTCCTGGGCCCAACACCGCTCCATCAGCAAAACCAGCTCTTCGTTCAGTTGGGTCCGGTCAATGCTCGGCCGGAAATAAGGCCGCTGACCATTTCGGACCTTCTGGACAATCTCTGAGGGTGATAAAGGGTTTGGATGAAGAACAGGTCCCCCAGGTAGAGGAGGCTCTGGTTAGCAGATAGACTGTCACCTTTGGGGCTGAGGTCCAGGCCCTCCAAGTAGAAAGGACCACTGCGAAGTGCTATCTCCTGTAAGATGATCCCAAAGCTATAGACATCGGCCTTCTGCATGCCTGTGGTTGGCAAGGGGTTCCCACTGAGCAGTTCTGGGGCAGTCCACAGCTTCTCTGAAAAGAGGGAACAGGCGGCCAGGTCCTCAAAAAGGAAATCCCCAAGCCCACCTGGCCTCATTCCTATAATGCTCGCCGTATTACTGTCACTCCGTCTCCCTCTCCCACCCTCCCTAGGCGGAAATGATCAGGGCCAGGGGGGCAATGTAAAAGCAGGTTGTGGGGGAAGCCTCACTGG